GAATAGTACACCTACAATAATGTCAGCAGAATAATACACCTACAATAATGTTAGCAGAATAATACACCTACAATAATGTCAGCAGAATAGTACATCAATCTTTTCAGCAGAATAGTACACCTACAATAATGTTAGCAGAATAATACACCTACAATAATGTCAGCAGAATAGTACATCAATCTTTTCAGCAGAATAGTACACTATAAATTATGCAAGAGGAATAGTACAACAAAAATTATGTCAGCTGAATAGTACACCCACAATTATGTCAGCATAATAATACATCTACAATCTTTTCAGCAGAATATTACACCTAAAATTATGCCAGAGGAATAGTACACCTAAAATTATGTCAGCAGAATAGAACACCTACAATTATGTCAGCAGAATATTACACCTACAATAATGTCAGCAGAAAAGTACACCTAGAATTATTTCATTATAATAGTACATCTACAATCTTTTCAGCAGAATAGTACACCTACAATTATGTCAGCATAATAGTACACCTTTAATTATGTCAGAAATTAGTACACCAAATTTTACGCCAGCAAAAGAGTACACCTAAAATGATGTAATAGTACACCTTTAATTATGTCAGCAAAAGAGTACATTTAAAAAGGTGTCAACAAAAGAGGACACATAAAATGATTTCAACCTAGAAGTACACCTGAAACGTCAGCATAATACTTCATATAAAATGATGTCACAAGTTTATGAAATGCATCACAACTAACAAAATCAACTTATTCTATAATGTTAAAAGTTGCCATTGTTGAAGATGCACATTGATCCAGGTGAGCAAAACAGGGTCTTTAGAGACTCCAGTTTACTCTTAAAAGTGAAAATATGTCCAGTTTTACATATATTCCTGAACTGGGAATATAAAATCAATATTCAGAACCAAGAATCATTTCAGAGCCATTTTGATCAGCTGGGTTTTAAGAAGGACTTACTAATATCAAACCCCCATTGCCACTGGGTGGTTCGCTATCTTTCAACTTCTTTACCTGTATTGTTAGCATTGCACACGATAATACTTTTCGTGAACTGCTTATAACAACTTAATAATAAATCAATTGGAGGTGTACATATTGATATTATTGTTTTGAAAAAACATGGTTTATTAATAGTTAAATTTGTGATTTTAAATAGCTTTTAGTAACTGTGAGTACTTCTAGACCAGTACTTGGCTTAATGTAGTGACATGACTAATTAAAACTTGACAATGCAAGTCGAAAAAAAACCTTCATCACTTTTGGTGCTCACAAGCACTTTGATAACCTGCATTGCCAAATGCTTGGTATTCATCATTCCATTCATCATTCAGTCTGTCAATAGTGGGTTCTAAGTTTGTCTCATCTGAATTAATCCAAAGAGTTTTCCCTGGACATTATTCTAACTGCATAGTGGTTGCACACAGCAGAAAAAGTTATATCCAGATGCAAATCAACTGCTACAAATGGGATGACAACCTTAATTGGATATATGGTCACATATACATGTAATGAGAAGATCTCTTGAATTTGAGGTCACCACAGCAAAGGTCAAGGTCAAAGCTATAGAAAATGGTTCCGGAGACAAAAATACTAAATATTAGTTAGCAACCTTGCTTTGATATATGGTCACATATATAAAGAGAAAGATCTCTCTCTAGCTATTGATATTTAAGTTATCATTACTAAAAATAGATTTTTGTATATTGCGTAACACAATTGTGACAATATTATTGTCTGAAAGAATCGGATCTTGCCGTAAACAGATGAAAACTGCAATCAGGCCAATACATAAAATTTTCCCCATTTTATAGGGGCGTAGGGTATGTGAGCTTGACCACTTAGGGTTCTTTAACTTTTTCAAGTTTCACATGTATGGAACTTAAGTAATTTTATCACATGCGATACAGTACAGTATTTGAAGCAATCATGAAAAGTTTGAGGTTATAGTTTTCGGTATTTCATTTTTGTTCCAATAACATAAATATGTGTTCTTTCATGCCTGCTATGTAGCATACATGAAGCTATGTAGCATACAGAAGATGGTAAAACCAGAGAATAAGACGACCAATCAAACTTCGTAAATAATTTTTCAAGAGTTATATTCTATCTACGGTGACGACACAAACATTTCACCTTCCATGAATTGCAATTGCCAGAATAAAAACAACACCAGTTGCAAAAGACCATGATCAAGCAAAAAGAATTAGAAAGCTACTGCGTACAATGATTATTTAGTAATGTGATATTTACAAAAGGAAAAGCATGTATCATTATCAGTTTGAAACTGCTTCGAATAAATAATTCATGGAAATTTAAAAGTAGATAAGTAAACAAGTAATAACAGAGCGTGTTAAAATTGTGAACATTCATTGTTTTATTCTAAATTTCGTGTTTACTTAAAAGCATGTCGTATTTTTTTCATACATGTCTATAGTGTCAACTCTCCCATCAGAAGACAGAAAATTCTAAATTTCAAAAATTTAGATTGAAGGTTTTCATGAAATTTTACTACCATACCAATCAAACTTGTGGAAATCTGCAGAAAATTATTTCAATAGCAATTTGATTTGAAACATCGGAGGAATTAAGATTTTCGTTTTCGATAAATGCAAATTGACAATGATATCTTCCTCGACCACTGTAAGACAACGATATAGTCAAACAATAGTCATCTGACTGTTTTTAGTAAGCTACAGTTACAAATTCTATATATATATATATATATTTTTAGGGGGGATGTGTATGGATGATGAAAAGTTGTCTCATTGACAATCATATCACAGCTCTTTATGTAAGCCTAAAAATAAAAGTGAAATTTGCAGTTTTCAGATTTCTAGTAATAGTAAAATTCGGTATATTTACTCTGTGAATTGACATTTTCTCTCGTACTTTTACCGCTTTCATGTGATTTGGATTTTCCGTTATCCTTTTTCCCAAATTCTTAATTGGACGGTACTTAAAGATTGGTTCAAACATCGCAAAGCAAGATTACAGGAAAGAAAGGTTTCATGGAAAAGATACATGTCGTGTCCTGTCATTACACTATCGGATACAACGCAACCAATAAACACGGGGGTCAGATCGGATCTTTTGCCAATGGCAGTAACATATCGAAGTCAGTATTTCATCAATATAACACGTCTACCGACCATGTACATACAAATACTCGCTTCAGTAGTAATGTTTGACATAACTACAGCGGTCAAAAAATGGCTTCAGGTTTTGATGTTGTATATGATAAAATGTAAAATTCTGGAAAACCGTTAAATCGTATCGAATAATTACAATATATAAGTATTAAAAGTTTGTTTATTAAAAGTATACTCCAAATATGAGGTAAGTCATATAAATTATATATAAAAAAAAATTGTGCTGCACAGAATTGAGAGTATGATATTGCTAATCAAAATCACTATTTAAGATCCGAGCATTCCACTTTCTAATGCATATATGTTATGAAACAATTTTGGATGAGAAAATGGAGAATATTTAACAATTGAACATATGTTTTTCCTCGAGAAATGTATTATTATTTATCTTCAATATAAGGCTAAAGCCTTTATGAAAAGATATTGGGCAAACAAAAAAAACGATTCAACACACTTTTCATATACGATGATATGTTTTTCTTCAAAAGATGTAAAGAATATTGGGTCTTCTCTATACCTTATGTTCTTAACATAGCACCACTTCTACCAATAGACAACTAAAACACAAACGTATGTTTGTCGACTAGCTTGCTGCTTGTGTATTTTCTGAGCTGCCGATTATATTCAATAAATATGTACAAACATGTCACATCAATACACATTAAAAATTGTGGCAATCATAATGACTTCTAATATCTTCTACTTATATCTAATTGTTTCGTGGCCGACCAGGAAAAACTACTTTTAGAAACCTGTGTCCTTTTGTCAATGCCAGGCGAAACCCCAAATGTTGGACCGCACTTGATATAAGAATGTTAAAAAAAAAAATTAAAGAAAACATTTAAATGCAAAAAATCTCCTATCAGTCAAAAGACTGCGGCTATATGAACTTGAAGACAGAAAAGAGTCTGAATAAACAAATCCGATTACGTTTGTATAGCCATACCACCTATATATAACAAAAAGTTTTAACTTTAATGCTAATTTGAACATACTTATAAACAAAAATATTTTAAAAACGTTTCTTAACGTACATGTTAAAAAATTTGATGTTCACTCAAGTAAGGCAGGGCTAGAAATGACCATATATACACCTATCATTTAACACAATAATTTTTCCCGCCCAAAAAATTCATACGCCTTCGAACTACTACGTGAGAAGACAATTAATTCCCGTTACACTACGTGCCACGGAAATTAGGAATTCAATCCGGAAAACAATGCATTGTCTTTCAATGGTCCCATTGGTAGATATGCAAAATAAATTGTTATCAGATACGCGTTTCTTTAGACAATAACAATAGGAAAAGGCTGTCTCAGTTAGAGACAGAAAAGGAATGACAAGATTTATACAAGTCTGGAAAGTAGTTCAAGTCAGGTCTTCAGTTTTAACAGCAGCACCAAAAATGCATTGCATCTAGCATAACTTTTAACGGAACGATTGGCACTTAAAGATGGCCAGTAACATATACATCTTGCACGGCAAAGGCACATACCATTCATGTTGTTTTCATCTTCCTTTATTTCATATCTGGAAGAAGACTTTATACGTTTGATGAACTTGTGTCTCCTCTGTTTTGCATATTTAATCAAATAAAAAATATTTAATCTAACAAATTATTTTTTTTTCTCAAAAGATTTAGAATCGAATGATTTATTTAGTTCTCTCTTATAAAAGATGAATGGTAGATATGTCTTAGACAATTACAATTATTTCATAACTGACTCATTTAAACAGTATTTATTAAAAAAAAACGATTCATTTCAAAACCGTTTTGACGTACCCGATCAATTCACCATTCTCTTATTTTAAAGGACAATTAAAAGACTTACATTCGGTTAATTGTATGAATTTGTCATTCAATTTTATAAACACTTCTTGTTTTTCAGTTTAACCGTGATTTCATTGATGACAGTTTTGTTGTTTATATTCTGTATCCCTAAATGCAAGGCTTCAGGTGAGAAGATGTAAAGCAGCATATGTATCTTTATTAAAATGTATATCAAAGCTAGGCATTCAAATTCAAGAAAATTGAGAACGATAGGAAAGTCAAAAGCAGAACTTTTTTGAGCGTGTGACATATTTATATATTATTGTGTTACCATGAAATCGACCCTTGATAACTGCATGGTTGCCTACACTGTAACAATGTCCATGTATCACTTTTGTTTTGTATATAGAATACACGTATTGTAACTTATCACTAATCTTCAACTTTTCTTCATGAAACTTAAATACGTCTACAAGGCAATGCATTTACGATAAGTTTGAAAAAGATACAAAATACATGTATCATAAAGCTTTTTATATTATAATATCATCCCATGACTTTACATTTGACCTCCGACCATGAAACTGAATAGACTTTATGTTCTTACTTCAAACAACTTGGTTAAAAGAGGTAATGAAGGAAACAAATTAAAACGGTACAAAAATAATAAACTATTGTATTTCAATATTTACAGCCAAGATCTGTATATTTGCATGTCCGGGTAAAACATGTCCGTACGGCTATGTTCCTGCAGGTTGTCCACGTTGCCAGTGTGCTCCAAATCCATGTTTGGTGAGTCGATTTTTAGCTTTCATTAGATATTACACTGTCTTATGTCTTTTTCTAAAAATGGAATTTACATATAGCTGAAAACTGGTATAGTAAAATTTTGAATTTTCAAAGACACAGTTTTAATGTAACTAAATAAGGTTGCAACTCCCCACTCAAAATTTACTCTAGAAGATTTTCAGTGGCTATATATTTTGGCTCTTCTAGGTTTTATTTGTTATTTTGATTTCAAAGTTTCATTCATTTGTATAATCAGATCAAAAACGATAAACTTCAGCAAAAAATGTTTGTTACTACTTTGTCTAACGATCACTATTAGATATACTAGTAGACTGTGATGCATGACATCTCAGCGACATATCTGACTTCTAGTGGAATTACTATATTTGATTTCAATGGCACCAATATTTTTTCTTATACATGACCAATATATGATATAAATTACTGATTATACTTTATACATCATGATATTTGTTTTGTTTTATACTATTCTATTTTCTTTTAAAAGTTTACAAAATGTCCATCAGGGTTTTCATGTAAACCTATTCCACAAAGATGTCCGCATTTTCAAGAAACATGTCCACATAGAGCCCATTGTGTTTCTGATGTATCGAAAGGAGGTATGTGGAGTTATTTAAATACATTTGTATCTGAAGGTCTTTTTAGATGTCTGAAACAATGTTTTGACTAAAATATACAAAATATGTCATTAACAAAATAAAAAATAATTTAAAAAACAAGGAAAGTAATCATATTCTGCAACACTTTCAAAAATGTGATAATATTTAATCGACACATATTTATTACAAGTAAAATGAAAGTATACTAAAGAAAAGACTCCTAAACCTCGGGATAAAAACGACACAAGTGCACATTTGTTAAATGGTTTAATGGTTTAATGGCACGCATGCTCAGGTAAAGAGAAGGTTCCTAGAGATGCCCAGCTGAAAATAATACTGAATCCTGAACCTAAAATATTTTGAAGAGTTGAAACATCCTGGGAAAAACAAGAAGTAAAGAAACACCCTGGTAAAGAACACTACATAGACTGAGGTTGATAAATATTTGTTCTTAATTTCCAAATCAGTTTCTTAGTTTCTCTTAAACGATGATGTATTTTCGTGTGTCCGCATCAAACTATCAGTACTGAGCTACTGAGTCAACGATTCTCCCGGAGACTTACAATCCACCAGTAGATATATTCGTCCAATAGACAACACTGGAAACATAAGCTTATACAATACTACTTGACATGAAAATAAAAAGTTACAAATATATCATCATGTGACCCTGAAGAGTAATCATATCATGATGCAATGGAGTTTGTAACTAAGGTAATAAGATATGAAATCAGTAGGAATGAATTGATGATGAAAATAATAATAAAAAAATAATAATTGTAATATCGTTTTTCTTTAGAACAGCCCTGTGGTTGTACTGATGAATTTAAACCTGTCTGCGCTACTAACTTTATAGACGGCACCGTCAATTTTGCAAATGAATGTAACATGAGATGTAGTCTGTAAGTAAAATACTTTATTGGAAAATGTTTTTGATATGAATTAATTCACACAATTAACGAGTAGCCAACTTGAGTAGTCAGGATTGCCCGAAGATAGACCTCCCTACAGTCGGTCTTTTATTTAGTCAATCCTGACACCCAACAATCTAAAACTGAACAGCATTAAATATTTTTTGAGAATCCCTTTCAGTTCAAAAGAATCAAAAATAATATCCGTAGATTTTCGAAACCCCTAGTGTGACTTGGGAATAGAAATATGTTAGCTCTTAGTCTTCTTCCGACCGGCAGTATAAAACCAAAGTGGGGCGTCCGTTTGTTTGTGTTTGCGACAACTCTTGTCCGTATGAGCATGACCTGTTTGCAAGCCTTTATGTCTGTCCCTATCACATCTAACCTCCTTTTCCAGTGGCAGTCCAAATTTTCCGCCCTTCATCCTATTGTATATAATCTATAATCGTCATGAATATGCATGATATATTTGCCACTGGACGTTAAGCAACCAGCAATCAATCAATTAATCATGATTTTGGATTTTGAATTTATAATAATTGACTAAGGTTTATACTTGATATGCAGAAATTGAGTTTTCACTATTTTATGCTCAATGCAAATGATTTTGGCAAAAATCTTGCCTGCCTTTCTTCCATTTCAAAAACATTTCTATAACGTCAAAAGCGCTATAAACTCTGTTTTACCTAAACTATAAAATTTTGTTAAAAAACACTATGTTTATGTTTTACACACATAATTTATTCATTTTACTAAAGGGTATACTAAAGTACTGATATATTAAAATTCCACAGAAATTATATTGTTGTTTATTGTGATTTTGTTTTTTTTGTAATAACCGTATGTGTAATAACCGTACGTGTAATAAAATGCGACGTATTTTGTATCACTTTTGTATGCATTCAAAATCATGCTGCGTATAAAAAAAACAATTGAAAGATGAATATCTGATATATCACCATCAACTATTCTTAGACACTCGAGGGAAAGATTGTTATATCGATGGTCTTGTCTCGTCGGACTGCAGGATGTAGCGGGTTCGATCCCTGAACGGGAAAACCAAAAACTTGAAAATTTAATTGGTATTTGCTGCTTTCTCATCAAGCACGCGACGTTTTAGAGTAAGAACAAAGGCTGCATGGTCAGCTCGAATTCAGAATAATGTGTCCAGGTAGGGTGCAATGTCTTCCTACAGACTATTATACATATCCAATTAGCATGTCCAAAATCCAGCTCAGCCTGTTGGTCTAGAACAATGCAGGGTTCATATTCATAACATATATAAATCGAGCTCTATAAAATGTTTGCCAACAATGATCAACAATAATAGACAATAGCTACTCGGTCATAATGACGTTGGGAACAAGTGGCGAAAAATAAACAACTTTCAATGGTACTTTTAAACATATACTAGTAACCTCAAAATGTCTCCTCTAACCAAATCTTATTTTGTTCATGTTTACATTTGTATATGTTAAGATCAAATAAAATGTGTGTATTTTGTTTAGAAATATATAGAAACATCAAGGTAAATTATATATTTATGCAGTAAACGGTTTGTTGCCATTCAACATTTCAGACTCCATTACATAAAGTTCGAAGATGGTTTCTGTCATTGTGACTGTCCGGATTACTATGATCCCGTATGTGGCGTTGATCAAAACGGCGAAGTGTCTTTTGTTAACAACTGTTGGCGATCCTGCAAGTAAGTGCTTCAATTGGTTCCATAATTCTGACTAAGTATGGGTCGGAGTCAAAACAACTCGATCATTTGACAAATGAAATGGGATGGATCTAAATAGACACAAAGTCATGAAGTAACCTAAGTTTTGTGCTTTATATGCTGTTTTAACGCTTACACAATAAACAAGGCCAAGACTACCAAAAGTATACATGTTATATGGACCTCCTTTTAACTACAGGTAATGTTACATATTGAGTAGGAAAAAGGGTTTTACAACAATTCGTGTAAACATGCATACGTTAAACGAGAAATATATACTTGTCTTGGGTATAGATAGTTTTCCTTATATTCATATTTCCTGTCTGTAAAAACTCAGTCCCGTCAATTACGTCTTCAAAATTTAAAAACATTTTTATCCTTTATAAAGATTCATGTCATGCATAAATAAAAAAAAATATCGCATTTAAATCAAAATGTTTTGAAATGTGTTGTTTACAATGTTAAAACTGTTGAATGTTTCCCCCCGGACAAATGTCAATATGCTATCTGTATGAATCAAGTGATTAACCTGTGACTGTAACTTCGCGTGTGTTTATCTTGTTAACATCTTTGAATCTCCTCTTACTTAACAATTGAAAGACCATACTTTTTAAAACCATAAACGATTAGGGTATTTTCTTTTTGTTTGAGTGATAAACGGTAAAACTTAAGGTAAATTGAAATTCTAAGATTTGCTTTTGGTTGTAGCTAAAAAAGATGACAGTTATATTTTCAGAATGTTAGATTTTTGGAACATCAAAATGACTGTACCAATTTTTGACATTTTTGACATTCATTAACAATAAACTATGGCAATCAGTGTTAATTGGATTAGATAGAAAATGACTATCCAAAACTAAAATACAAAAAATGGGAAAGTTAATGTATATTATATGCTTTTCATAAGTTTCTTTGCTAATCTTTGATGTGTATTCAACAGTGGTGTCCCACTGCAGCACGAGGGTATGTGTGACTGTAATTGTCCTGTGACAGAGAAGCCCGTATGTGGAAATGATGGACAGACTTACATAAATGAGTGTATCATGGGATGTGTGTAAGTATATCATTCCATAGAGTAAGGTTACTTGTTTATTTTATAAGACTACAAACTGATCGAAGTTATATTTTTTGTAAATAAAAAAAAAAATATGCTAAAATCAGAATTATTACCAAATAATTTGTAAGTCATTTTGATAGCAATCTGGCGGGCCCACTCTGCTAAATGTAGCATACTAAAAAATCGTTTGACTTGTGTCAATCGTAGGATTCCTTAAACCAATTCGCTGGTCTCGTAGTAGAGAGCCCGCTTCGAGTGCGGGGAGGCATTAGGTTCGACCCCGGCTGTTTCAAATCAAAGACTTGAAAATTGGTATTTGCTGCTTCTGAGAGCTCGGAGTCAGTAAAATATGTCCGGTTATGGTGACATGTCGTCATGTGAACTGTTACCTTGTGAACAAGCTCGTTTCGAGCTTATCGTGTCGGTCTATTACAAAGCAGAGCTCATATTCATTTCTCATTAACTTGTCTTCGTTCTGATATGCATGTAATATTTGCCACAAGACTTTAAACACCAATTCATTATCCTCCTCATCATCATCAGAAACAGAATTCTTAAATCACATGCATTGTACCCACAAAAAGATGACCACAAGGACAATGGAAAGCTTTGCTTGGAAAACCGTAATGATAAATATTTGCTTGTATCTTTAAATTGTGTGCACTTTAATAAGTCAATGAGGCAAGCAACAACCACAGGCAAGAAAAGACACAAAATACCTGGTCAACATGCGGTATCGAACATTTTACACGTGTCAATACAATGTTTCCTGCTTAAAATCGTCCCAAATCTAAAATTGCGAAAACACCTACACTTTATCATTCAAAACGTACCATGTCTATTACTACATTTTTATGTATTATCCCCTCTTAATTTCTTTATACAGAGGTGTTACTAAAGTAAAGAATTCTGCCTGCTGAAGACTGGTATGAGTAACGAACGCTAGAAATGTGTACATCTCAATAGACACTCAAGGACTGCATTAAATAAGACTTTGTAACATATCATGTTTTAATGTATTAATATTCTATATATATATATATATATATCAACCATCATCATCAAATAAAAAAATGTAAATAAAAAAATTAATTTTTGATAATACCTGAATATCTATTTTATTATGAATTACACAAGTTTTTAGAATTTCTTTCATAAGTAATGCGCTTGACACCAACAGTTCTAAAAGCCAAGGCATAAAAACGATTAAGAGCATCACAAACAAAAGTACTTATACAAAATAACCAAAACCATACAAATTTAAGTTTGCAGGAGTTGTAAACCAATTGAATTTAAATCCAATTTTAGATTAATTACCTAATTTACAAACTAGAGGCTCTAAAGAGCCTGTGTCGCTCACCTAGGTCTATGTGCATCTTCAACAATGGATACTCTTCGTCCTTGTTGCACTAGAATAGAATTCATGACAACATCTCTTCTTTGTTGATCTAGTTTTGCAGTTCATTTTGCTTATTTAAATTTCTATCTATCTAATATAGTTTTTCAGACAGTAGGCAATAACAAAAAAAAATGATAAAAACGTTATTATAAAGAGAACAACTCCAATAAGGGGTCATCAGACGATTTAAACCATGTTGACTTATTTGTAGATTCTGTCTTGCTGATCATATTTGCTTAATTAAGTTTCTATCTATCTATTATAGTTTTTCAGATATTAGGTAAAAACGCAAAAAAAATGGTAAGAACCGTCATTAATGGGCAATAACTCAAATGATGGGTCGTCAGACGATTTCAACTATTCGAATTATTTGTAGATCTTGTCTTGCTGATAATTTTTTTCAATTTAAGTTTCTATCTATCTATTATACTTTTTCAGATATTAGTCAAAATCGCAAAAAAAATAGTATAAATCGTCATTAAAGGGCAATAACTCGAATAAGGGGGTCATCAGACGATCTCAACCATGTTTGATTTATTTGTAGAACTTAACTTGCTGATCATTTTTTTTTATTTAAAGTTTCTCTCTATCTATTATAATTTTCAAGATAATAGGCATAAGTTGGTTAAATTAGTGATTTAAGGGCAATAACTATAAAAAGGTCGTCTGACAATCTAGAAGTAAATGCACAATAGGTAGATCTCATCATTCAAAACATTTCTCCCTTCTCAGATTTTCTCTATTTATAGTGGTTTTCAAGATAATAGACAAAACTTGCATTTAACCCATATGTTGTATTTTTAGCAATGTCGGTCATCTTTTTTTTTTCAAACTAGATACCCTAATGCTGATTGTGGCCAACTTTAGTTAAATTTGGATCAAAAGTTTCAGAGAAAAAGATTTTTGTAAAAGTTAACGACGGACGACTGACGCCAAGTGATGAGAAAAGCGTACTTGGATCTTGGGGCCAGGCGAGCTAAAATCACAATTTAAAAATACTATTTGAATAATGCCAGTAACAAGGAATTGCACGATGGCTATAGGAGATGACCTCAGGGATAGATAATTTGCCTTTTCAGAATGTAAAGCATTATGGGTAATATATATTGAGCGTACACCAAAACATTAGGGGTTGTTGAAATCGTCCAGAATAATGGAAATTCAACCAATGACGTAACATTATTTACATTTTGGTGTACAAACAATTTAGATTCCGAAATGGCGAATTCATCATCAGTGATACTGATTTCCATTTCGCAAACATATCTTTTCTAAACTATAACCTTTATTTGGTATACATGACAAAAAAGTTAAGAACACGAAAAACATAAATCTTACGGTAATTTTAAAGGGCATAAACAGCAATCTCAAAATAAAAAATAAAGGATCATCCGCGTTATATTTTCAATGTTGTTCAGCAGTAAACACGATATGCTCCGGCCAACAAACTAAGATATACTTTGCCAAAATAGGTTTGAACCTTTGTTGCATCAAAAATGTCAAAATCCATGCATAAACTGCGACAATTGATTAGAACGTATATCATTTGTCTATAATTGACTCTTGTGCAAAAATGTTCAAATCTGTATTTCTATTTGAATTTTTTTCCAAAATCGATGGCAATATCCTAATACTATAAATTTTATTAAGGCTTTGTAGGTATCGTATTGCAGCCAAAGCTGATGTTTCATAGTTATACAGTTTACATCTTCAAAATCTGAAATTGAACATTTATCTCTTTTTGGTCCAAATACCCGGGCTCTTGATGACGTCTGATCAGTATGTTTTTGTTAAGCTTTGTTTTGTTTAAAAGGACTATATTGAGAAATAAAAAAAAAGTACAACCAGAAATCGAGTTTTAAAGTAAAAATAAATAACACTTCATTTTCCTATAACAGTCAACAATGCTGGTAACATCAGTTATTTCTTCTTTTTTTATATCCGGGTATTTATTTCATGGCGACTTTTCTTCAACTGTGGACAAAGTAGTACAAATCCTGGAAATATATACAACAATATGATTTAATCTGTATTAATCATATTTGATAAAGGACTTTACGTTTTGAAATTTCCTTGGAGTTCAGTATTTTTATTATTTTACTTTTTATCTTTTTAGTGTTTTTTTTTTATTAGAATGCTAAAACATGGTATTCCATTTGCTACAGAACCAATGTTTACTTGATTTTGTCTTGATTAGTTGCCAGTGCACATCCAATCATTAATCTTATTATCAACAGTCTTTCTGCATCAGTTATGTCAAATCTTCTTTGTTTTGTTAATTGATAAGTTGTCTATACTTTTTGGTGTATAATTGTTGATTTCAAATAACGTTTCACTAAAAAAGATTATATGAAATATAGCGTGCGCATTACATTTGCGCGCATTTGGGGATTAATTTTTTTTACGTTTGCGCGCATTTGGGGATAATTTTTTTTACGTTTGCGCGCATTCATTTTACAGGTAACACAGGTAAAAATAAAGATAATTCATACTGATAAGTATGACTATAGTTATTATGAATTTTGAACATACTTATATTCAAATTATATATTTTTTATATTGAATTCTAAAAGAATATAAGATGATCATGAGAAATCCCGCAATAGCTTAACACATACAGTAACTTAAAAAGTATTCTGTTTTCAAGTTTGACCGAATAGTTATCGCTTTAGTATTATTTACTGAAGTCAGCGGTCAAAGTTTCATGCACAATTTTTTAGCCATAAAAGATGGAAATTCCATAAAATATAAAGACTGATGCTAGAAATTGCTTGCAAAAACATGACTTGTTCTTGCAAACATTGATGTAATTTATGCAATTCAATTTATGCGTATTGATTTTTTTTGCTTCGTCTTAGCATGTTTACATTAAAACATTATAGAAGATACTTATACATTTAGTGATTTTGGGTGATTTTTGGCTGTCCCATTGACGTTTATCGATCAACTAATTTTATTTTTGATGCAATATTGAAATTTAAATTTAAAAAGCAAGTAAAATATGGCACATCATAAAGGGAGGCGAATAGTTGAGTTGATCAAATGTGAGGGGAACATTTAGTGTGTTCCTATAATAATGTGACAATTCATTTCCTTTCACAATTCATTTCTTGCAATATCGTTACGAAATGTAAATACATTACATTGACCGAAACAGAATAGTTGGGCATTACACAATGACCACAGTCTTCGTATGCAATATACTAAACGGATGTTTTATAAACAAGCAATTTGTCTTACTTTTTAAGCGTTGGGTTGAAAACATTCCTGTAAATAATGGAAAACTTTTAATACGGAACTTTAATATCAAATAAAAGATGCTATCTTTTAAAACAGGACAGCAGTTAACTGTGTCCTACAGAACTATTGGAAAAAGTTTATTGCCCAAACGACGTATTGTCTTGAAAACTATTTTTGAGATTTCGTAAAGTCAGGTAAGGAATCTGAAAATGATGCCATTTTCATAAAATGGTATATTAAGCGATATTTTATTCAAACTCAAACTACAGTTTAATTTCCCTCAGGCAAATTTGAACCATACTTGAAGCCTATGTTTTGGTCAGGCCAAGTTTTGAACTGACGCATCAAATGGTTTTCGATTAATTCGTTTTTGAACTTTCTTATTTGAACTTTCGTTTGTACGCGCCCGTTAAAGGTAGCCCGATTATGCGTTAGATTTAGAAATGAAATAATGAGAAAATTTATGTCTGTCTGTCTTGCGATTTAACTTAGGATTTTTTTTTAACAATTATTTAAATATTTTAAAACTGTAGATGATAATTTGAATAACAGCATATTGACGAACTTAAAAAGCATTTGAATACGTCAACTCAAAGCGATATTAAAACAGTTATACCCACAAAACCGTAAAGAGAGGGTACTAGATATATCAATTAACTGTATATCTTTAATCAGTCATGTTTATGTTGTTTGTATGCTGCTTGTTTTGCATTCATAAAGATTTATATTATATTGTCTCATGTGTTTTGTCCAGATTTCAGTTAGCTATGCGCATCTCATCTCTGATTCAGTTCTACATCCAATTGAATTTAACCACGATTACTATAATGTCTAAAATAAAGCTAACTTTTAACAGTTTTAAAGCAGCTTTCAGTCATCAGTTTTCTGTTGTGGGTCAATCTTTTCGTCTTAATTCTCCTGGCCATGACATTGTGTATCCTTCATCCCCTGGTATCACGCATTTTCGAATACCACCAAATACGTGATATGTATACTTTCTATGCGGTATTGGTTTTGCTCATTGTTGAAGGCCGTACGGCGACCTATAATTGCTAACTTCCACATCATTTGGTCTCTGGTGGGGATTTATCACATTTGGAAGACGTACCACATCTTCTTATTTTTATATAGCCTTATAAGAAGCTTCACAATGTGTCATTTGTCGTATTGCTCACGACAAGTAAAAATCTGGTAGTTCGATGATGGTCACCGTACAAATTATATGATGATTTAAGTTGATATATCATTTAAGGGTTTAGGACGTGTCTCAATATGGTAGAAGGAGCAACAAATGTTCACTGTCATCGGAAAAAAAAACACTGAGAAGGGTTACATAATTGAGCCATATAAAATTGATTGCATGAATGATTCATATTTGCTTTCTATTGCATTGATACGTATATGGTTTCTTAACAAACTTTTAGTTTGTTTATATCAAAATAAAAATTATCATTTAGAACATCCGATGCATGACGCTCTCCTAGCACGAATAAAACCATCAAGAACTAATACGTTAAAAGATATGTTTGTCTAGACATTCCCTATCCTAATACATTAATAATAGATAGAATACAAATGAGCAATATCAAGGTATACCTAGCTTATTCATCTTTCACTTGATTCATTATAAATGACATGTAGTAAACACAAATGCTAATACATGTAACAAAGTTGCAGCAGTTAGTCATGTTAGGTCTTCAAAAAAGCATGTCCCAATTAAGTACATATATAAAAATAAGGAGATGTGGTATGATTGCCAATGAGACAACTATCCATCAAAGTTCAAATGAAGTGGAGTGGAATGTACGTTATTTCAAAAACTTATTGATAATTGACCGTTTAATTGATTAGCATGCATTTATACTATTTCTTTATCGAATATGGTTTCTTTAACGTTTTTTTGGCTCTGAATCCCAATTATTATCACATTAACCAATCATGTCTGTTTTGGTTGCTCATCCAATTTTGTCATTATGACGGAACTATAAACAACTGTCATACAAGCAAGATGTTTAAATTAGCTAGCTATAAAACCAGGTGTAACCCACCATTTTCGTCGGAAAATGCCTGTACCAAGTCAGGAAGATGACAGTTCCGTTGGTTGATATAGTCTAACGCGGCGGTTTGCAATTTTTATGGACTTCCCCACTTGAATTTACCGTGGATTTCGGTTTTTTTGTTAATACTTTTTTTATATAAACCACGTTGATGTTATTCTTCCGAAGAAAGAAGTTTGGAATGTCATAAAAATCAATATAAGGAGAAAACTAATAATCACTGCTCTTAGACTATATAGAATGGGACCAATACAAACCCAATAGGTTTTAGACTGATGAATTTCTAAGGTATTCGAAACAGTCTTTTCCGGTCTCCGTATAATTATATTTGGTTCAAGTGCGCAAAGATCTAAAATTTGGGAACACAGGAAAGTCAGAATATCAAGTATAGTGAAACAACAGGGAGATGGATAATCAACAGTGAGATGGACAATATGTTTTACAGAAAAAAAAACGCCTTTTTCACGAGAGATCTTATATAACCTTTCAAAAGATGGCATGTAATGTCAAAAGAGATAATGTTTATTTTCATATTGCTTTCAATTATTGTTAAGTTAAAGTCAGAAACTGATCGACACTTTTGATAGTAATGTCTTCAAAAGTTTTTGTAACTAGAATAAGTTATATGTGCAAGAACCTTGGAAAATATTAGAACAAAAGAAAACAACGTTTAAAATACATTCTGTTTACGAAATACAATGAATATTAATACCAAATATGAAAAGGTCTAATTTGCATAGTACTTCAACTCAGGCTGAAAGGGCATTGATAAACATACGAATGGCTTTCGAACAATATAGTTTAACCGGAAAGGAGAATGAAAGGTACAAAAAAAAAATACATGAATTTATTTAATTTTGTTTATCCTGATTGGTTGCCGTTTGCTAAACGTACAGTGGCAAATAATTCATGCATTTTGAGGACAAGGGAAAATTAAACAATAAATCATAGAAATAGATCCTGTAAATTTTGTCGACCGGGAAGAAAGTCTGGAAATTTGGAATGCTGCTAGAAAAAGGAATTATAGGATTGAACAGAAATTGTTATCTTTAATTTCTTAGCAACATGATAATGTTGTAAATATCAAAGATGTAAGAATAGTATCGCCGCTTTATGCAAATTAAGTGCAATAATTTCAACAGTAAATAAACTTTTTATTAGATGTAACTAAACAAGAAATATGTACTTATATAAATATACAAAAAATAGAGGTCACTACTATAAACAATGTAGGATTTTACTGAGGCTAGTCAATGAAATTAAATTCAAAGAAGCGAAACGGAAACAACCCAGGAGGAACTGAATCCTCACACGTATAATTTCAGTCAGATGATACAACTGTTAATTTTTAACTAAATCCCGAAAACGGCTCTCTTTTCGAACTGCAGTGTATACTGAGTTATTGTAGCCCGGTCTTTTATGTCGGAAGCCATATCAACTTTTGACTATTGACATAACTAAATCTGTTGAATATACATTGTTACTTTGTGTTAAACTATGTCATTTGTAGCTGATCACCCTTTTCTCTTATGGAAAATGCAAAGAAAGGTATCAAGAAAGTGTAATTTTCAACATACTATATGGAGAGCAACGACCTAAAAGTCTTTCCATTTTATGTATCCAGTAGGGGCTGCATTGAAACTCCAACGCATTAGAATATCTATTTGTATAATGATTTTAGGAAGAGGTAAAGTTACCACTCTATCATCCCAAAAACTCACGTGCAATTTTTTATTATTTGCTCAAAAGGACTTCAATCATTCTCGAATATTTCATTGGTCCATGTTTGAAAATTTTCCTTTTTAAATCAGCAGAAATCTATTGGGTTGAAATTTCCCTTTTAAATACTAGATTTACAAATAGGATTTTAAACTTTTGTATTTTTTTCCGAACAAAAATCCAGAAGTTAAATAAAAGTTTGACAAAATGAGTGTGATTGATGCCGGAGAAGAAATACCCTTACTACACCAAAGTTTCGATACTGTAATGCACGTGACGATCTAGAACAACATACATACATCATGTGATTAAATTGTCAGAGTCATTTAACAATATGTTAACTCATGCTTATTAACATACAATCAAACAAACAAACAAAAACACTTTTTTTGATTAACATGCATATTTTGCGTCGTCAGAGGTGTTACATTTTAAATATTGTATTTTGTATTGTTCGTTATAATTGCATGTAATACCTGTTATTTTAATGCAATGTGAAAGATACGCATGTTTTGAAGTTATATAGTGTCTACAAAAAGCAATTATTTGCAGAACATTAAAAAAATAAAGCACAATAACAATAACATTCATAACATTGTAACAAAAATAAATATCAAGCAATTTACAGCTGTTGGCATCAGAAACAACGGAACAAATAATTAAAAAAAAAACCATCGCCGATTAAAACAAAACAAAAAATCCCGCCTGAATGAAAATATGAACAAATGAAATATGATTTTTCAGTAAGATTTATCCAGGTCAATTTTAATATATACTGCTGTAACGTCAGTTTTGGTCTAATTTTTCCATAATTCCAAACTATGTTTAGCAATATTCTCTTTAGCCGCAACACCTGATCCATATATTGTTTGTGTCTAGTAATTCGATATCATCATTTGCATCTTTTGGTTACTAAACATTTTGGATCGTAGGTTGCGGCCAATGTATTTCTTTATGCTTTTAGGTCCGAAAATCGTCGTATTTTGACAATATTATATATCCAAAATGTGCTGACTTTGGAGCCTATAATGTACCCTTATGAAGTTATTTATTTGTTAAATCTCTAGCAATAAGGTTTTTGAACTATATTCATTTGAGAACCAAAGTACGACCTTTTTTGTATTGTATGATAAAGTCAAAATGCAGGGCCGTATTTGACCAAAAGTGAACCATTTCCTTTGAAACATTTAATGACCTTAATAAAATAACCACACAATCCCTATAACACTAAAAAGTATAGCGGTTATATTCGAAATAATTCCGTAGTTTCTGATAAATCAAAGCTTGCCATCAATAGCTGTAACGTGGTCGTCTATTAAAAGCTCGGCCATAAGCTCTGGAATATGAAGTAGATGGCACTGAGACCGAATGTCTTGCCTTTTCTGTGTATAGATTAGGAACCAGGCCTACATTGGAGTTGACCAAGTGGACACTGTTACGTCCATACAATTTTCTCTCATATTCTATCATCTGTTTCCAAAATCCATTATTTGGACGAATCACGGACCTCCTTTTCTGTACAAAATCATGAGCTTTTGCTAAAGTCATTCTGTGATATTTCATCAGGTGGACTATACATAATGTGGCAGATCTGCTAACGCCAGCTACACAATGAACTATGACCTTTCCTCCACGCGAAGCTATGGTACTGATCTCGTCTGCCACTCGGTCGAAATGTAGATATAACTGTGCTTGTGAGTGATCATCGACGTGGATTTGAGTACTCTGAATCCCTGGGACATTAAGGTTTGGTACATCTAAAGTGCAATTTATTATATGCGTTATTCCAAGAATAGATAATCGTTGACGAGTTATTGCTGTTGCACTACAAAGATACAAGTAATCCGTTATTTCTGCTATTTGTGTCAAAAATGCCATTGTGTCTAGCTGGTTAAGAACTCACTGTTTACTGATTTGGTCTTTAAATGTCAAAGTATCTGAAAAATGAAAAAAAACTATTTCAAAGAAAATGATAAGAAAAACCATATGAGAACAGTTTATTTCAATGAAGGGAAGGGCCTTTTCGATCATCTTTCGGTTCTGTATTTGTTTCACATAGAGTGTCATGTATTTAAAAATCAAATAATTCCAAAATTTATACTTAAAAAAGAATTTGCAACCAGTTTACATTTTACCGAATATGTCCTATTCCCGATTGTGACATTTGAAATTAGTGTGGATTCGCATGGCGGGTGATGTATGCATAGCAGGAAAAGTCTTCCCTGTCCATACAACCGGTCTCGCTCCTTTTGGATTTCATGCGATTCCTCAGTTTTTGTTTGTTACCTTGATTCGTATCTTCTTAATCTACTTATGAGATCTGAACATCGGCAAAATACTGTTGCATAAATTTACATTTATACATCATATAGAAATGTTATTCAGTTCGATATACATATTTTTGCTGTTGGAAACAATAATGATATATTAGTACAGATTTGTAAAGCTTTTTTGCAAAATTATGTCTCAAAGGTCACAAACCGCGAATAAGTTTGTATCTGTATCCAAATCAATATAAAATGCACTTTTGGGGGATTTTCAGTCATTTATAAGTTGGTTACAGGTTAAAAATGGTGTTTAAATGTAAGCTCGTTTATTTTGAATATTATTAAAGAATTTAAAACTGCGATTTCCAGTAAAGATTGTGATACTGTTATTTCAAGTAAAGATTGTGATACTGTTACTCAACTTAGTATCAGTAAAGATTGTGATACTGATAAGATAAGATAAGATATTTTATTAGTATAAAATCCAAACAATCGGATACTGTGAGTTGCAGTGAAGATTGTAATACTGAGATAATATAATAATATTGTGTGTGTTTTTGTGGGCAAGCATTATTCAAAAAGGTTGTATGTATTAACTCCAGAAGGAAAGTATTAACACCAGAAGAGAAAGTATTAACACCAGTAGGAAAGTATTAACACCAGAAGAGAAAGTATTAACACCAGTAAAGAAAGTGTTAACACCAGTAAGAAAGTATTAACACCAGTAGAAAAGTATTAACACCTAAAGATAAAGTATTAACACCAGAAGAGAAAGTATTAACACCAGTAGAGAAAGACTACTGTGACTTTAACCCTAAAAGGTCTGTGCTTGACTAGACAGGCTTCGTGGTTATAAATCACGCAAGTAAACAAAGCATTGATGTAGGGTGGATGCTGTTTTCGTGACCAAATTCCACTGTAGCGGAACATAATCGATTTTTTATGTGCTCACAGTTCTAAGTGTTTTTTTTGTATTGCGCTACAAGAGGAACTATGATAATTGATTTGTTTATTGAGGGTTGCGTGATTAACGTTCAGTGGCAAATATTTCATGCATATTCAAGACGACTGACAATTAAAGAAATATATATATGTAAATATGATACTGCATGTAGTATACTAAAGTGGCAACTGCATTCAAACTAAAAGTTATTTATCAATTCTTATTTGAATGCAGGTATGGATTTAAATAACTTTTTTTTCAAACTTGCAATCAATACCACTGGGAGGACACCATCATTTGTCCGTCATTATTCCCCAGGGGGTATCTATCCTCATATAATTTATAAATATAAATTGCTTGTTTGGAGTGATATGAAAAAAATATTTATGAAATAAGACATATCAAAGCATATATGCTTATTTCATGTTGATTGAAGTATCTATTTTAAATAATTATTCCTAAACTGTGAATTACAGAGAAGAGATATTCTTCAAAAGTGGAATTCTATTTAGGTATAGGTCACTGTGACAAGCTAGAATATATGTATACATACACTGTATGACATGTTAATGAACCTGCTTGATTTTTTGGCAAGATATCGATAATTATGTATGTTACATGCATCAATAATTTTATACGTGCCCCTATCTGCATACCTTACATTCGTTTTGTATGCTATGAAAACATTTAGACTAAAGATATGAAATAATTCGTTGCCTGAGATAGAATGCCTTTCTCGACAAAGGTACATTTTAAAGGCTACTGTCACTGTGTTTGTGCAAGAGTTGCTTTTATTATGTCTCGCACTGTCTTGATGTAATATTTTAGTTACGCTACATTTCAACTTTGCCGAAAATATTGGATTTTATATCAGTTCATCACTAAATAGATATGTTAAACAACATTTTGTAAGTTCGGCATAGCGAAAAAAGGGAAAGGATTACGATACTAAGAGGACAATCACAAACAAAACATCGAATAAAAAAAATAAATATTATGGTAAAAATTAAAAAGACAAAAGACAAGGAAGACTACATAATACTACACATTACTAAAGACTGAACAAAACGAAACCAACTAAAGGCAGGGGATACACTCAGGAACTTCCGAATGAGCAACAGTTCTTACTCCAATGGCGACATTAAGTCGAGTTACTCCTATATATATAAATCCGTAAATGATTCGTAACCAGTGGTGCGACATCATACAATAACGGAATTGCAAATGTCTCTTGTGTGAGGGGTCTGGGTGAGGTTTACAATATAGAGAAAGCCAAAATAAATAATGAATAGAGAAAACTGAGCAAAAAATATAAAGAATAGAGAATAATTGGGTGCAAAAGAATAAAGAATAACGGTCGAAAATAAAAGAATTAGCTAATAAAATACTGATCACAGAAATGAAAGAGGTACAAAATAAAGAATCATCTAATAACAGAACAAAATATTGGTAAAATCATTTTCACGAGAATTTTACAGAATAAGCGTTATTTTTCAAGATAAAGAAAAATGCCCTTAAAATTTAAAGAATATTAGGACACACCCGCGTTCCGTGACTGAATTAAAGCACCTATGCCTTATTTTTAGCCTGGATTTTTAGTATTCGTATTATCATCTGATAAAGTCATGCTGATTGTAAAGTGCACAGTTTTCTCTGCTTTCAAAATCTTTCTGTTTGAACCCGTCCTGGTTTTCTTACTACAATAAACTTACTACAAACTAAATCTAATTAACCAAAATTAATAATGGTATCGAGGTGGATGAAAACAGACTTGTTAAATAGTGTACTATAATGTAACATAGATATATACCAACTACTGGAAGAATTCCAGGTTCTTATGATAGAGGAGGGATTTACAGAAGGTAACAGGTAACTATAACCGGAAACTACCTGTGACATATACTATTGGTATATCAGATTCGACCCGCAACTTGTTAATTATTGGTAATATCAATTATGTGGAAAAGAAAAGGGTCTGGAATGGTGTAATTTTTAAACAACACAATTGTCCTATATTGTTAGTTATTATAAAGTTGAATTCTTTGATTCGTCGTTTTTATGTCATGCCCGCTAACACTTGGACCTCGTTATTTTAGAAGTATAGATAGAAATAAAGGACCCCTCATCCAAACCCTCTTCTATCAAGAAGACATTACAAAAACTTTCAATCTGCTTCACATGCAAATTTTCGAATCCTTAAAAACTACCAAATGTGAATGTTGGCATACAGTAACATATAACCCAATAAAGTGTTTAGTTATGACGGTACCATATGCTTTATGAAATTCTGATGCCAGTAAAACTAATGTGCTATATTTGTTCATAATATGAATTAATAAATTGCATTTGAAGGATGCTATCTCGCTACGAAAATCAAGATTAATAGCATATTTTAAAAAATTCTTGTCGGAGAAAATGACGCATTTTTTGTATACGAATGTATGTTGTGAAATGAATGTTTAATTGTAGGAAAATGCAGAAAACATGATTATAATGAGGAAACATTTTTCATAGATATACTTGAGATGTTCGATTTTGACGTACCACTGAAAGCTGTGTAGGTCGATTTGGCAATAAAATATTAGGAAATTTTGAGAATTATCTTAATTGCACTGACTTTCAAAAATATTTTCAGACAGCCACTCTCTGACCTTAAAAGCTAATTATAAAAAGAGACGTACCTGCTCCGAATTTAATTTGTCAATAGCAAACCATGCACTTATATTACATATATGTTTAACAAACATGACCGTACTCATTTTTGTAAAGAAGACGGAAACAATTTTGTAAAGAGATTTAAAAGTTTTGTTCATTTATTCATCAACTCCAGAATATTGCATGGTTTTTGATGTGCTGAAAGGCATTCGACGTAATAAATTATACAGATAGATTCAACTAGTGAATAGTATACGAGACTGTATAGATCTAGTAACAATACATATAATATCAATTATTCATGAATAATTCTATGTATCTTTATATATGTCTTTTTGTATCTCCCGAAGTAAAAGCAAAATTTGGTTTGAACGGATATTAATCAAATGATACATGCATCCGGGAAATTTTCTTATTTGAGGTAATTTCATTCCTTTTAACATGTATAGAGCTGAGATTATATGTAAAAGAAATATGTTAAAGTATACATATTTATCAGAAAGAGACTAGTACCATTTGAATACGCATGGCCACTTTCTCTTGTTTTGCTGCACCCTCATTACTATCTGAAAATTGATGAATCCTGGAGCACCCTTAATATTAAGAGTCTAACTAATATATATTTAAAAAAGATTTTTACACAATTTAGGAAACGTTCATAAAATCAAAACGACATTCAGCACTAAACATTGATTGCTCGAGAACAAAATTTCGATAAAGCATTGAAAATATCATGTTATTTTGCAAAATCTTGCACCAAAAAAAAAAAAAATCAACACCCAAAGTAAATTAGTTTCTTTCAGGAAGACAGTAAATAGCTTGACTTTCAATTAAAGATACGTTTGGAATGTTCTTCTCATTTAGATTTCAAAATACAAGTCTTACTCCTTCATCATACATTATTTACTACTCCAAAAATTTCTTTCATTATTTACATAGAAGTGAAGTGTTATATGTTATCAGCACAAAAAGTTCAGGCTTGGCAATTATACAAGAAAAGACAAGCTAGATCAGCGATTCATATTGCCAAACAAAAGCAATGAATATGAATTAATTTGACGACAGAAATATA